GTTTAAGTTGCCATAAAGACCCAAGGTCTGATGTTCAGAAGATATTTTTGTTTTTCTTTAAAGTACTCTCCTCTAAAATTACAAATGGAACAAAACAGTTTTACTGGTTTAGTTATGCTTGTTTTGAATAGCAAGGGTTCCTTGCTATATAGATATAGCCTTTGTAGAGTCCCCAGGTTACAAACATATGACTAATGTACAAGTTGCACTTAAGACTAGAGGCTATTACAGGTAATAGGTAAATATATCTGTTGTAACTTACATACAAATTCAGCTTACAAACAAACCTATAGAAGCTACATTGTTACTGATGCAGGGACAGCCTGTATTACCCCATTTCACTGTCATGGTGTACACTGTAACACAGAGAAACACAGTAAGTATCTGTATCACTCAGGGAGTCTGTTCCTCTGTTCACAGGCATTCCATTTGCTGACTGCAACCCCTAAAACTATGAACTCTGAGGAACCCAACAGACCCAAAAGAGATCATTCGCTTCACCTGGTTTTCTCATGGAGTTTTGGTTTGGTTGTTTTCTATTGTTTTTTGAGGTATTTTTTGCTCGGAGATTGTCCCAAAATATTTCTCATGTTCCAATGCCATTTATATCACCAGGCCAACTTCTAGCCTAGATGTCTACCATTATCTTTCCTCCCTTGCGTGCCACATGTGAAGATTTTTATAAAGACCATGGGGCTCTGTGATACCTCCTCCATCACCAGCCTCCCTAGCGCAGCAATTCTGAGGACAGCTCACTACCTGTGACTTTTCCAAGGCCATCAGGTTGGATGTGACAGGTGCCATGTGCCTTCCCACACCCCTCCTCGGGCGCCTGCCTACCTTAATCTGTTCAGGATGTAAGGGACAATGTGGTGGGCATCCCCCGGCCACGTGCTCCACCTGCAGTGGACAGATTGGCACACGCTCCCTCCTTGGGGCCTCTGAAGAGAAGGCGAGACCCACCTCTGAATGAAGCGGGTCGCCTCCGCCGTCAGCCTCTGGGTGAGGTTGTCGTACAGCATGGGCTGCTGGACGATCTCGTAGTCCCGCATCAGGAAGCAGTTCAGGGGCCGGAAGTAATGAAGGAAGCAGAGGAAGAGGCTGAGGATGGTGGCCGCCAGGAAGAGGAGGCAGAAGAAGATGCTGTGGGGCACGTGCAGCAGCCCCAGGAAGTTGAGCATGGCCAGGGTGAGGATGGTGACCCCGATGATCTGCAGCGGGATGAACACGGTCATGCGGAACACCATGGTGAACACCGAGCCTTGCCCGGGTTTGCAGTCGCGCAGGTTGGTCCCCGTGACGCCATAAAAGTAATCGAAGCCGTGACGGATCGGGTGGTGACAAAAGTCCGTCTTGTTGTGACAGTTCAACCCCAGGTGCCACTTCCCTGAGGAGATAAACAGGTGGATGATGCCCATAAACTACACCTCAATTCCAACAGCCTCTGATGCCCCCATGAAGAGAAGCAGCCTCCTCTGCCCGTCCCGCAGGCCCTGTGGGTTCCCACTGCCTGACTGAGGCTAACACAGCGGCCGGGTCTCCCCTCCTGACTGCGCACGCTGACGCCAGGGCTAAGTTCCGAACTCCTGACTGCGCGCGCTGACGCAGCACCGGCCTCTGGCCTCCTGACTGCCCCGCGCTGACGCCGGGGCTAAGTTCCGAACTCCTGACTGCGCGCGCTGACGCAGCACCGGCCTCTGGCCTCCTGACTGCCCCGCGCTGACGCCGGGGC